GTATTACTGGAGAGAAAATTCAAGGCAGCGAAGGGAAAAACCTCAGGCCTGCATCGGCTGATGGTTTGTGGCTTTTCTCTGAATATCCTTTCATGTTCCTGATTCATTTATCCAGAAAATCAATAAGTACTTTCTTAGCACCTACTATGTGCCAGGTACTCTGCTAGTGCTAGGGGTGCATAGCTCATAATGCTCATAATGCATAAAAAGCCATGGATGCATGGAGGATATATCTGACAATCTTTCATAGGCTTTTGCTGTAGTGGTGCCTAGACTGGGGCCAGTAGTTATCAACAAGGTAATTGTAAACACATCTTTGCCTCACAGCCCATAGGAGCCCTCCCACACTCCTGGGCTCCTTTTTTTTTTTTTTAATTTGATTCGGAAGGTCAAGGGTAAAACCTGGGTATTCACCATTTTGGAAGCCCAGGTAATATGATTAAAGATCGGGTACCTAACTCAGGTCTTGGAAGAGAATGTGGCCCCTGAGTTTCCTCCCCCTCCCTCTTGCTCTCATTTTAGGACATACAAAAGTCTTGTCCCCATTGAGATCAACCCTCTCTCTCACTTCTGGTTGACTGTTCATTGCCCATAATTGTTTAGTAAATGACTCGGAATACACAAAAATCATTTTGTTGTAACATACTCCATTCCATAATGATTGTTCATTTCAATTAGCTCTCAGTGGCCTGAAGTAGAGATGCAGGGCCCCGCTCAGATAAATCACCACCTTTGTCTGAAATTGGATTTAAAGCAGCCGGGTTATTGGGGATGGACTGAGGGGGATAAATATTTTATTATTTGTTCCTCCTCAATGTTCTGCCAGTTTGTTCTCATTTCCATGTTTCTCCTCCTGCATACTGGCAGATTGTAGACTGTAAATTTGAGGGGAAATTGTAAATGTGCAAACATGATAAATAAACATGTTGCTTTTGTGAGGATGGATATTATCACCCAGATTTACAGCTCTCCTCGCTTGCACATTTTATTGCATTTGGGGAAAAGCCTAGCGAGGTTTTTGTGTGTTACGTTCTTTGATCAACTTTCTGCCCTTCACCCCTATCACCCCCTCTGAGTCATTTAAATATCACCTGGAATGGGAACACAATTCATCTCCCTGGAAGTGAATGCATCTTGACAGGTGTTTTCTTTGGGGACAGTTATTTATAGCTGCAAGAGCTATCGTACCACAGGGTACTTTTTCCTCTTCCCTCCCCCTTTTTCATTTCTCTAAAATTGAACATACTTTTGTTTGCC